ATATATATGAGGTTAAAGTGTGGTTCAGCATTAAGCTATCACCATCTAATTACAGTTTAATGTAGAATAAGGATGCAGCTCTGAACCAACTACACTTCCCTTGCTGACCTATGATCTCCGGCTTAACTCAAACTGATCAGGGTAGCCCCATGCCAGTCCAGGCCACAGTTTGGCAAGGCAGGCTCAGCTATGGCAACAGGTGCAATTTATAGGTATGTATGGCTGTAAAATCAGCCAGTCACTGGCTCTAGAGTCCTGTCATTAGCTACTCTCAATAGGTGCAGCAGGGGTGAAAAAAAATGCATAACTACTACTCAACATTGTGGCACAGGCAGAGAGAGAAGGCTAAAATCTCAATGTAAAGCTGGAAAGTGTCCTGGATACACTTCATCTCTGCCTGCATCAGAAAACCCTTCTTACCCCTGTACCCACCACCCACTGCCGCAGTCCCCAAGGCCTCACCGTGGACGCCTGTCGGTGCCACCGCTGGCACTCTGCCAGGGTTTCAAAGGAAACATGGTATGTTTGAGCTTGTGCTCCAGCAGATGTGAAAGCAAGCGTGTACTGCCGACGTTTCATCTCTTCCACCTGCAAAAGGGAGAATTGAAAACAAAACAGTTTGCCTCAACTCCAATAACTATGATGGATCTGAAGTCTAGGGTGAGGCATTACCAGTAACATCACATTTTGCTGAAAACACAGTAGTAAAGTTAACGGGGAGAAGCACAGAAGTAAATCCTACTTAACATCTTTCTGCTGAAGTAGATCCAAGAAGTAACACTCTCCAGAATGTCCATTCACAACACTGGCTACTAATGTGAAAGCAGGACTAGTATCTCTTTGTTTTATTACCCTCAAGACTACAGCCTAAGCAAAGCAAGCAGAAAGGGGCTGCACAACTCCCTGCGCATGTTAATGCAGCCATTTGTTACAAAAGCCTAGATTAACCTCTTGTGGCTAACACCCATCATTATAATCCCTCATTCCTGCCTAAGCCACAGGAAGCTAACAAAACAAAGTCTTACCTTCCCTCCAACGAGAGGCAAGATGTGCATCTTCCCCGTGTGGCTGTCTTTCACAGAGGACACGATGAGGCACGTACCGCAGAGCATTACCAAGCGCTCTGCCCACTTGTGCAACTGGGTCTTCCCTTTGCGCACACTGTAGACTCCAGAGAGCAGGATGCGATCCAACTGTTCCACCTGACATGGCTTTTCTGAAGAAAAAAAACAGGCCATCAGCATTTACTTTTCACTTGTTCTTCATTCTCGGCTGTGAGTACAAACAGCAACGCAGCTGCAACATGAAAAACGGGTTATTGGAAAGCAACGCTGTACGCCTCTCAGCACAACGTTGTCCCGTTGCCATGTAGTGCGTTTTTCATCTACCAGGTAATTACAGACCTCAGCCAACTTACACACTTGCCAAACATCCTTCACTCGGATGCAACAGAAAAGCAATTTCAAATTGTTAAGTCAACCGAAGTCACAGAAACCATCAAATAAGTGGCTTCTACTGGGTTTAAAGGAAGGCCTAGAAAAGCAGCTCCAGAAGAGTTATTTCCCTGAAGAGGATCCAAGCGAGAGGACTCCGGCACTGACTATTACACTGTGCTGTGAGCACTGCTGGCTACAGCTCAAACCAGCAAAGCAGAATTCTACTTCAACCTTCTAAACCACAGACAGTTACTTTGAGGTCATTCTACCTCCCTTTTTTTTTCTCCCCCCCAAGATAATACAAATGTCCCAGATGCTTTTCGAGACTCTGTCCTCTGTTTATAGTATCTCGTGGCTAGGAAAAATTTCCAAATGTTCATTTAATTGAATACTATAAAGAACAGGAATAAGCCTGACCTGATGGACCTATGAGTTTCAAGCATTAGGAATCTCTTTATATTAATTTTATATTTCATTTTATCCTCAATAATCCCTTAGACAGACCCTGGCAACAGGCCCTTTGTTTTTCTTAGGAAAGGATCCGTTTCTTTGAAGTTGCTACTGACATGCTGCTTCTGTCTTGAACTGTCCTGCAAGTCTCCTGCTACCTATACACAGCATGAACCTGCAGGTATTTATATGTCACCCCCCCAGCACCGAGGTCAGACAGGAACCAAACAGCTGACATAGATGCCAGACAATGACAAAAAACACTTAGATCTGCTGGAAAAATATTCTCAGTGTTTGTCATGGATGCTCCACTTCCAGACACAAACCAAACCCCAAACTTCTATTAGGAGCAAAAGGTTAACGACCAACTAAAGCTGTTGTACTGATCCTTTGTTGGAAAGCAGGACTTTCATCTTACCAAATTTAAAGCATTGTCCTGATGTCTACACCAAGCTGAATTTAGCTAAAATATTTAGCTGTTTATTTACAACAGTAGCTTCCTTTCAGGGACATGAAGTTGGGCATAAGACGCCCTTTAATGGTGAGAAACTCTAACCACCCACAGAAAAAATGTCTGGGATTTCACCAAGCAGAAAGATCAGCCCCTGGCTTTTAGGAAAACAGTATTATGGGCCCAAAAGCCGTATCCTACAGGCTGGCACAGCAGCATTGTTTTAAGCACCAGATATTACTAAGAAGTTAAACCGATCCTCCCGTTTCCCCACCTGCTGCGAAATATCCGTGACACCTATGTCCTAGTTCTAAGGAAACACCCAGCAGAACGTTCAGGACTTCTGCTCTGAATCCCAGCTCCTTCACAATGCCTCAAGCTATGTGTGAGAACGGTCTTAACCTCTGGGGAGGGACAAGTCCTGTCACTCTTTGCAGCTCCTGAGCTTGGCCTTGAATGTCACTGTGATCATGCTGATCTCCATGCTCCAATTAGTGACAGCAGGCTTCCCATGGAAGGCAAGGATAGGGGTCACCAATAGACAGAGCCAGCACCTCTAACAGCACCTTACAAGTTACACAAGTCCAGCTATAGCAACGGAAGGCATCAGGACAATTCCCCACCAGAAAAAAAAACCAAACATGCGACCCTCTACAATTCACACCTGTCACAGACCAACAGTTTGATGATCCCAGAGAGCTTCTTCCATTTGATCTGTTGTTGACACATGTAAGGACCCTGTAAACGTTTGGTCTCTGAGCTTGCCCCATTCCGCCGGGGTCACTGGCCTCCATCCTCCAAGCACCTTCCACTAAGAGGAAGCCCTCCCCCCCATTCTCCCAGCCAATTCATCACATCCTCTCCCCTCCTAACACTCCTGGGGACCTACAAGTATCTCAACAGCCAGATGTCAGGAAGCATCCTTCCCTCTCACTGCTGTTTAACATGAGATTTCCATAAATCCACTTGTAGTCCCATGACCCCACCTGGGCACAAGTACTCACCATGCACCAGGGAAGGAAACAAACCCAATGAGTCACATGAGAAAGGCAGACAGAAATGTGGGATGAGAGCACAGGAATCCAAAAGACATCCCGAAGGAATGAAAGAAATATGAAGGCTGCTCTCAGCACTCCAGCAGGTCCAGAGCAGGGCCATGGAAACAGTCAGGTGGCTGGAACACCTCTCCTATGAAGAAAGGCTGAGAGAGTTGGGGTTGTTCAGCCTGGAGAAGGGAAGGCTCCAGGCAGACCTTACTGCAGCCTTTCAATATGTAAATGGGGCTTATAAGAAAGGTGTAGAGAGACTTTTTACCAAGGCCTGTCTGTAGTGACAGGACAAAGGGTAACACTTTTAAACTGAAAGCAGGGAGATTCAGATTAGACACTCAGGAACAAATTCTTCCTGGAGAGGGTGGTGAGGCACTGGCACAGGGCGCCCAGAGAAGTTGTGGATGCCCCATCCCTGGAATTGTTCAAGGCCAGGCTGGATGAGGCTTTGAGCAACCTGGTCTAGTGGAAGGTGTCCCTGCCCATGGCAGGGGGTTGGAACTAGATGATCTTTAAGGTCCCTTCCAACCCAAACCAGTCTGTCATTCTATGATTGTAAGTACGGTTTCTCTGGGTAAAATGCATCACTTCATCCCTGATGTACTCAGCTGCAGGCTTTGCAAAACTGACACAGACCGCCCTAGCATTCCCTCCAATTTCTTCTCTACCTTTCAGAACCACTTTGTCAGCATCTGCTTTTATTTGCTTAAAACAGTCTCCTCAACACTCTTCAATCCTTACACTTCTTCCTTCAAAGCCTCCTCCTAAGCGGGACTACCCCCCCATGCTGACTGAAACAACTCAATCCCATTTTCTGCCTACTTGCTTCCATGAGATTGAGTCGCTGCTCCTGAATCTTCAGCAGTTTCTGCTTGATGTACCCAAATCGAATTGCTCATTTTTTCCTTAAATATTCTCTACAGCCCTATGCTTGATGCTTCTCCTCCTTCCAGCTGAAGCAACTTCTGATTCCCTACTCCTTGCCCTATAAATCCAGACTGTACACATCATGCTTCTTTTCATCTCCATCGCACTTCTACGCTGCTCGGCCTGTTGCATGCACAGCTCCCAGACAGACAGGGTTTGTCTCAGGCTAAGGGAAGGAGAAGCTGATTTCTTATGATTCCATTTTTTGACACCGAATAAACAGATGATGGCCAGCAGCTTAGTCAGGCTACCCAGCATCTGCTACACAACAACAATTTTCCATTAAAAGCATCTTGGTTGGGGTTTTTATCTGAAATGCAAAAAATACGCAGGTGAAGTATTTAAAAGCAGTGAAATAATTTCATTATCAGCTTTCCTCCCTCTTATTTCTTTTATCTTCCCTCTTTACTTCAGTAAATTCCTTTTCTGACTGCTTAGCAGCACACACCAGCGGGCCTACGACCACCCTTATGTTGCTCCTTACGCATACGGAATCCTGCCCAAACTGATTCGATAGGCCACTCGGAAGTCTCGCTTCTGCAATCAGATTAAGCAGGTTCCTAATGGCAGCTTGCATTGTTATTAAGCAGCTGGCACTTTTAGGCCATATTCACAGGCCGTAGAGGTATTTGACCAGGACCTTCCTTGCCCATACCCATACACCCTTTGGAAATGCAATCTTCAGGCCCAGCTAGGCTGAACTGCCACGTTTCTGGTCCCATTAGGAGCCTTAAGGCATTTGTGGTAACACTGGCAACTGAAGACAAGAGAGCAATCTTGTGTCTTCCTATGGAGCTGTCTTTTTTCCAGCCACAGACAGGATCAAGAGAACCACAGAACTGTGGGTTTTTCTATTAATCTTGACAAATTGTCATTTTAAGAAACGCTTACTGGTACCTCGGGTGTTTGATGTAACCATCTATAAACCAAACAGGTCAATGCCTTGGGCTTCAGCAAAGTTCCACCTCACAGTTAAAGCTACAGGAACAGCAACAGTGTGCACACACATGATTTCTTACCACTGTAAAAGCGAATCATACAGCTGAGATCAGAGTTTGCTGCCTCTTCCTGCATTCTGACAGGATCATCAAAACCCAGCCCAGCCAGGTAGTCATACACAATCTGAAGGGGTTTTTCCGTGGGCTCCACCCTCCTGTCAAAACATATAAGAAAGTAGTTTGAGAATGCAAAAAAAGGTTAAACAAGTCTCATTGCAGCTGAAGTGTAAGGAATACTGACATACGGGTTGGTCTGCTCCTCTGAAAAGGTCTGGCAAGCACGCGCCCTTGGGTCTGTGCTTCCTGCCTGTCAAGTAGCACTTAAGGAACGACATTGCACAAGGGAAACAGAGGAAAAGCAATAAGCATAGGCCATGCAATCCATGGCAATCATTTCCATTCCATGATTTAAGGAGCACCAGGAGGAAACAATTACGAGAAACAGAATCAGGAATACTGCACAAAGAGCAGATGCATAGTAGTTTACAAACCCTATGTATAATGACTGAAAGATGTGAAAAAGCTCTACTTAAATGTCCCTTCCAGACGCAGCTGGGAGCAAAGTGTATGAGAATCCTCCTGAAGAATGACTGCTGTAAAGAAAGAAAAAAAGACATTTCCCATTCTCTTTAGCTCTCGGTGCAAGATTTTCATGCTTTGGCAAATAAAGGGTACATTTAAAGAAAATACACATTTAGAACTACAGCTGATCGTAGGAAAGATTCAGTGGCTAACTGGACTAAATGGCCATAAGAGAAAGTTCTCCTGAAACATCACGTTTAGTATATTCAGAACAGAAAAGATTTTTTTCTCTGATCCTTTCATCTCACTTCTTCCAGAGACACTGAATTGTTATTTTTCTGCAGTAAAACCTACAGAGTTTCTCACTAAATTGAAAGTTTTACTTTAGGGAAAAAGGTCCTAGTGTAAAAGATGAAGCAGTGACAATGTCAGATGAGTGTTTAAATAAACTGCTCCAGCGGCCCACTGATTATCCACCATTCAAAATCCTCACTTATAATCTACATTGCCCAGCTTCAGATTATGGTCACTGGACCTCGACTTATCACCTATTCTTTAAGCGGGTGTTTATAAATCATGAGACAAACCCTTTCAAACTTCCTTCTCGAGATAAAGCTCGATGTGCTTTTAAAAATTTCTTGCAGTAGGGTTGGTCTATTTGATTCAAAATAATTTTTACTGCTATTTTTTTTTTAGTTTACAAATGTCCTGTAAGAGCTAGCACAACTGTTCGCTGTATCCACGCACTGACTACACAAAACTGTACAGAGGCTTCTTGCTTCTACTCAACAGTGTTTATATCCCTAGATCAAAACTGCTCTCGACTAATTGGCACATTCACTCATAGCCCTTCAATCCACGAGTCCTCCTGAACTGCAGTTTTTGCATGTTACAGCCTCCTTCCTCTCTGTTAGCATGTGGTACACTTGGCTTTTACATAAATACATCCAGGGATACTGAGGAGCAGTTTTCCAGCAGACACTGCATGCTAAACCGCCTAGATCAACCCGTTGCACTGGCTTCTCAGCACTCCCTCCATCCTTGCCTTCCTGAGTGGTTGCCTTTCTTTTAGCCACAGGTCATTAACAGAGCAACTGGTTTGCCTTTCTTCATTCCAGCATACCCTCACCCAAGAGGCTTACACTGGGTAACAGTTTCCCGTTGGTAAGGGATCAGCCAACGAGTTTTACTGGTTTTGGCATTGCTGTTCTACCAGTGCCATCAGAACAGAGACAGAACTGGTTGGGTTGAAGGGACCTTTAATGACATCTAGTCCAACTCTCCTGCAGTGAGCAGGGACATCCTCAACTCCATCCTCTTGCTCAGAGCCCCATCCCACATCACCCACTGCGACAAGTGACTAACGCCTTGGGCGACCAAGCTGGAAATTTCAGAGCATTGAGACCAAGCATGGTCAGCAAGACCTGTTTTCTACTACACTTTGTTGACTTGCATACATCATTTCTACTGCGTGTTTTAATGTGAAATGTTTGTTACTCTGTGTGCCAAACCTTCCCGCTGCTTCTCAACGAAGAACAAAACTATTTCTGATGCTTTTGGATGACTGCACTGCAGTATTTCCACTGTTACTGGCAGCTGCACAGTGCATCTCGTAACGAAGGCAGCACTGATTCCATGAAGCATGCTCCGTTTACGAGCATCTAGTCACCCGGATTTCCGTGGTAGTCAACAGGACACACCTCAGGAAGTAAAATGACCTCAGGTATTGCAAGTTCAGAGATTGCACCTCTTACACTTCACACACAGGACCTCTGGATCACAAACAGGATTGCTTGGGAGGCTGCAGTCCAATCCAACAGTTTCTAGCCTGAAAAGACAATGTAGTTGATCGAGAAAACCAGCTCTCACCATTCAGCATTTGCCACGCCTGATAAAGACAACTTTGTTCCCTCCAGTTTTGTTCTGCATGGAAATACATCAACTCACTAGCCAGAAAGTTGTGTATGAAATAACACCCTTTCACTGCAGAAATTGCCTCCTGGAGCTTCTCCTGACTAATCAACTGGGGTCAGGCCTTGCAGGCTCTAATCATCCCTAAGTATAATCAGAAAGTTATTGGCAAATTTCAACCCATAAATAGGCTTTATTTAACAGACAAAGGAGGAAAACCTTGATCTGTATCTTCAAATCCATGCAAAGGATCGCTTCCTGATTAGAGCTGGTTGGCTTGGAAATCTGGTCTTGTTCCTTCCTTCAGTGGAACAGTAGGATTTAAATTTTAGTTTATGAAATATCAGCTTCCTTAACCAGTAGAAAACCTTGTTTATTCACATCAATGTCTGTCACAGGTGATGATTTGTGGTTGATTTTTACGAGTTATCCTAACTTTGTGAAGCTTCTAATATGACCAAAAGCAACGTCAGAGATAAGAATTTGATATGTACTGTAAGTATACTCCAAAACTCGTGTGAGCATAATATTCACGCATCTGTTCTAGGTGTGATCAGGTGACTGTCAGCAATCCACACCATTGCTGCTGCTGGTTTTATTGTGGGTTTTTTTGTGGTGGTGCTTTTTTTTAAACAGAAAAAACATTCAGAAAAACTGCCTTTTCTTTCTGACCTTTCTTCAAACCAGTAAAGAAAAGGAAATAAAGAGCCCCCCAGTACAGTTTATTGCAAATATAGATAAACTCCAACAAAATGCACATAACCTTGGTGGTTCTTTGCTGGACTCATTCCTGCAAGTCCTTGTCTCTCTTGTACTCCTGGAACTGGATGCAGCACGTGGCCTCACTGGTAGAGGGGAAGGACAACCTCCCTGGACCTGCTGGCAACACTCCTCCTAACGCAGCCCTGGTTGCTGCTGGCCATCTTCACCCCAAGGGCACATTGCTGCTCACCGGGATGCCCAGGTCCTTCTCCCCAAAGCTGCTTCCCAGCTAGCCAGCCCCCAGCGTGTACCAATGCCTGGGGTTGTTCCTCCCCAGGCGCAAGACTCTGCTTTTCACTCTGTTGAACTTCGTGAGGCTCCTGTCTGCCTTTTCAGATGTAGATGTTAAGCTCTAATTGCACCAAATTTTATTCTCAAGGCCACATGGAAGTTACCTGGTACCATTTCATGTGTCTTAAAAGTAGAATCCAAGTTTGACTTGGATCAGTATCACAAAAAATGTAACGTGCCCCTGTAACGGGCATGACTTCACTCTTGATGAGGCCATCCACCTTCTATCTTCAGTGAGATGAGAACTCTTCCAAAATAAGCTGGGGAGTCTATAAGCAAGGACCAGGTCCCATGCTTTCCAAAACAAAAGGGAAAATGGCTTCCAAACCAAACAAAAACATCAAAAAAGGAAAATAGCAGTCAAGAACGGAAATTCAAACAACGTTGATCACCTGCACCACCGCCAATCACTGACACTGCTCATCTTGGAACTCCTGGAAAACGATCCTACTCCAGCTAAGACTTAGATCTTTGTACAATCAGCATGAAAAGCTTATTTATGAAACACTTTCTTTCCCTGCTTTGCGAGATGGACACGGGTCAAGAGATTGGTTCAAGAGAGTGTCATGCCATCAGTGCTTCCCTCTTTGCAGAGATTCCTTCAGTCAATGCAGGGTCTCAGTCTTTTTTAGGACAATCTGTCAAGATCTAGAAGCTTTGAGCCAACCACTTCTGCAAATATGCAACTGAGATTTACGTTATCACTTCATTTATTTTTTTTACTACAGAAACAGGTACCAGTGAACATGACACCAAACTTTCAAAAGAGCTTTCTGAGGTAACTGTGGAAATGAGATATGCAGTTTTGTGCCTCCTGTAACAGGCAAGTTACTAGAAACTGGAATAAATAATAGATCGCACCGAACAATGCTGACTTTCAATACAGGAAACCCTGATGTACTCTATACTCCTCAGTGCAGAATCCGAGAAGAATGAGAGATTTGACTAGATCTCCAAATACCTTGCCCAAGGTTCCCTTGAAAGCCCCTAGATTCCAATTTTTCTGCTATTGAAGCCTTATGCTTGCCAGAAAACAAGTTATCTGCCAGCATGTGACCTATGGCTCAGGAACCGTAGATGCTTGATCGTCACTCACAAAAAACCCCACACTTCAAGTAGTCTGCATCTGGATTTCCTAGGGAAAAACCAACACTCAAACGTCACAATTTGGTTGCTGAATGGACTGAGGCTTTTGCGAGTACATGCTGAACCATATACCTGCACATCAGAATTCAGGAGGGAGCTTAACACAGTAAAGGGATAAGCACTTTTCCTATGACACAAATTAAATCACAGTTTTACAGGTTGCTCAATACTCTGAGGTACAGTAGTGTGGGTCCTGAAAAAGCTGGCTACTCTACCCCACCATAACTGCCCCTTCTGGAGATGCGAAATGATTTTTTCATTATTTTTATTCTTCTCATCTTTCCCTTCAGCAAGAAGTAATGCTGCAGGGTTCCAAAATGCTGATTTGAAAAAAAACTTTATTTCCTTCCTTGTCTGCACAAATCAAACCGATATGCTTCTTGAAGATAGGAAACACAATGCCCTTGGTTTTGGTTCTTTTGGAAAAAAAGTCACATACAAAAGGAACACCGGCAGTAATATCTATCCAAGTGTAATCCCCTAACAAGTGTATCTCTCTTGCCGTAGTACCCTTCCTGTCTGAAACCCAATCAAAATCTACACTACTGCACCACCTAGGTTTCGCTTGCCACTGGCAGAAGACAAAAGCCTTGGCCAAGAAGTTAAGTCTTCTGAATTCTTCAAGTTGGCTGCAAAATGCCTCAAGTCGTTCAGAGTTCGCTACCTAGCAGAAGAGTTCGAGTTTACAGGAAAAATCTGCACCTAGGAAGTCACACGTGCGCAGGATGCAGCAGCTGACTGCTCCGCAGATGAAGCGTGGGTTGGTGTTACACGTTCCAAGTGTAGAGACCTGGTGGGAAGGGTGTTTGACTCCCAGCCCACAACCGAGCTACTCTTCTGGCACTCGCTGTAAGCTCGGTTGTGGCCCAGGAAACACCAGCGCAGAGCCCAGGCGTTTAGCTACTGACACCCACTGGTCCAGCACAGGACTTTGTAAATAAAGCAGTGAACAACCCAGCTCGTTACCCACGGACCACAGTCACACCAGGAAAAGCAGCAATCCACTGAATGTCTTTGGAGGCATTCTGGAGACCTGACTGCATGGATCACTGGTCCACGTTCTTCGCAAGAGCCACATGATTCACTAACAAAACCCAGGATAGGCCAGGAAAGGGAAATCCAAACCCAGTATCTGGAACAGCAGTTTCGGTATGGAATTTCTTTACTAACATGACCAAGGCTGACAGGTCCCAGAGCCCATAGTTAAAGCTAGAGGTAGAAAAATACGCTTTCCCTTAGCGAGAAAGCCACGCGGTGTGACACCCAAACCGGCACGCGACCACATCAGGCATGTAAAAATCCCTGTTGTACTCAGTGCAATATGCGCCGGATGCTAGCACACATGGAGAACACCCCGGCTGCCACAGCAGCTGCTATTTGACACAAGCAGCCCATTATATCCACATCGGTATCACATATCCGGTACTGGACACTTCCACTAGTCAGAGAAGCAGCTCCGTTAAGCGAAGGTGCAAAGGGTAACGAGACAGAAAAGCCAACAGAAAGTAGCAACAGTTCCACAGCTGTAGCTCTTCTAGATCTCTGCAGTTTAAATGTTTGTTCTGAGGAGTGTCCAGACCAAAGATGGTGCTATTTTTTGTTTAATGCTTTCCTCTGCAGGAAGGCAAGGAAAGATCCCTTACGTAAGGAAAGGTTCTACCTAGAACTCTATGGAACCTTGAGGTGCACTGCGAGGAAGAACAGTTAGTTCTGACAGTAACTAACTCCCCTGGGCACTGACTTGAAAGGGAAACACAGAATGATCGCAAGGAGACCACTGAACGTTTACAGTGAACACCAAAAAGGTTCTTCTTATTGCTCCGTTTACTGTCCAGCTTTCAGTCTTCCGAGTCAGGTACCGAATCAATCATTGCCAGACTCAGCTTCTGAAAGTCACCTACTCATTAAAAGGGTGGAGAATTCAGAAGCTGTTTGGGAGACAAACGTACCTACAGTAAAACGCAATCAGATGCTTGATAGCGTAATTTGTATTCGCCAACACATCATTAAAGCAATCAGCGACCTTTGTTCAAGGAAGGAATTATCTCAACGGGACATGGGGATATCTTGAGCATTCTGTCATCTTCCTGAGCCAAGCAGGCAGGTACCATCCAGGCCTGCTTCCTGTTACAACACAGACGTTACTAAAGCAATACCAGTAACACCTCCAGCAGGAAGCAATTCCAGGGTCTCTACTGTGGCAAATACATTCTGAGAATTACAAGGAACAGACACAACCAAGAACTCTCCAAGAAACTTAAGACAAAGCTTAACAAAGTGTTAAGACACACCAAGAGCTGGATGTAAACATTTACAACTTGGCACTTGCTTCCAAAACACCAGTAGCAGAACCAATTTGCCAACCCAGCACAAAGCCTGCCACTAGTCAAAGACAAGCCAGCTACCAGGCACAAGAAGAGAGACGGATATTGAAGACAATTCAAACACAAAAGCCATTTCAGAATCTACAAAAAACTCGAAATGTTCCTCTCTGGACATGTCTACAAGCTCTGCCTAGCCTTTGTCACGAGCTGCACTAAAGGGGCTGCTCTTCTTTCTAAATGCTGGAAAATCTGCTCACTGTTAGGGCCCAAAACAAGCCAATTTCCTTACAAATTCTTCAAGCACAAATGGAGATTTTCAGCTGCCTTCATGGCTATGTTCAAGTGTCCATCTACCCTCACTCCCTGCTTCTAACCAAACCATCCCTGTTTCCGATAACACAGGCTGGGCAAGGCAAACAAGTCTAAATAACCATTTCCAACAGTCAGTTTTAACCACATCCTATTCTCTGCATCTCTTGCCACTCGCACTCTGCCCCGGCCCCGCACCTGATCCAACACATGGCAAGTTCTTAAAATCTGGACACGTGCAACTTATGACTTTCAATTCACTACCAAAAAAGCGGTTAATAGTCCTGTTCAGCACATACTGTCTCTATGGGTCAGCCTTCAAGTATGGATGCCGCAGCATTTCTTTCACCCTGAGAACAGGAGCCAGAACTTTATAACTGAATCTGAAGTCCAGAAGAATCGGTGCAAAGTCTAAATCCTCACACACCTAATAGGAGCTTGCAAACCCAGAGAAGTCACCCAGAGCATAAAGTTCATGCACACTGAACCCTGAGCTGTCTATTTTCAGCAATCGACTGCAGGCATAAAACATATAATCTGATGTTTAGGCCTTCTTTATATAACTCTTACTGCACTATCTTTCTGTCTGCTGTTAATCGTTTACCTGGAAACTCTCCCCAGCAGAAAAAATTACTAACACATAAATATTACGTGACATAACTGTAGAAGTACCTCACATGTTTCACTGACTCAGAAAAGGTATTTAGGAGGCCGTAAACAGAAGTTCTCTGGTAACTAAAACGTCCGTATCTTAGAACGTAAAGTATGTATGTGAGCAGTAGCCTCTACCTACGAAATGAGGATGTATGGTGGTGGGAGCACCCGCTACCAGCTAACACACCTACGGCTTAACTAGGAGATACAGAAAAAGCACACTGCAACCTTATTTTTACGAATTGCATTACTCAAGGCTGTATCTAGCTGCTCCCTACCACCTCTCTGTCCCACATCTGCCCTGGTAACGTACAGGGCAAACAGTCCTACAAGACTAAAGCAAACGTTTCCCAGAAAGATTTATCTTTTCTCAGCCCTCACCTGACCAGGTCTCCGTGAAGCTGCAAAAAGAGGTTTTTCCTCCCCTCTCCATCACATATCTCGGACGCTGGGGTGTCCACCGTGCAGAGGACCAAGCGCAAGTCTGATGAAGCAGCAGCTGCAGAATCTCTTCCATAAACGTAGACACAGCCTCGTCCGACGTCCTCTTTCAGCCAGTCCCTCTCACGGGAACCAAACCGGCTCCTGTTCAAACAGCTCCTGCTCCCGTTGCGCTTCACGTTCCTCTGCAAGGCAGCCCAAACCAGAGGGTCAGCAGCTGCCTCCGTGCCGGCGTGGGGCTGCCCCCCCGGAGGGCCGCAGC